TTTTTTTTTTGTAGTGGGTATCAAACTCAGGTCTTTGCTCTTACGAGGCAGGCAGTGGAACCTCTGACCTAAATCCCCAACCCAGAAGTCATCAACTCTTAAAGCTGAGTTAATTTTATAGAGGCTGACAGTCTTGGAAAGACATGGTCTTATCTCGTAATTATAATATACTTTCAAGATCTTGGGTGGTAGCGTGGCCGAGCAGTCTAAGACCCTGGATTAAGATCTGTGATGGTTTTTATTTTTAAGAAATTAATTTTATGTGATGAGTAACATTACACTTCATATACACTGATCTACTTTATTATTCAATGGAAAGGATTCCATACAAGCATACTAAGTTGAAAAGGTACCGATTAATTGCCTGCAACAGCTGCAGCTAGACAGCTATAATATTACCTGTGTCCCCTTGGAGACTCCACCCAGGGAGAAGTGGCTGGAGCTGAAGTAAAGCAGGGTAGCTTACTTTCTTGGTCTCTAAGGGAAGGAAAGAAAAGAAAATCCCCTCTGCTGAAAACCTTTGACAATTTTCCTCCTCAGATTGAATGAATTCCTATTGCCTGGTAGGCTTTACCTATTGCCTGGAGACTTTAGCTCCCTGTGGAGGAGTAGTGTGGGATCTGGAAGCTGGGAATATTGGAAAGGAAGGACGAAAGGAAAAATAGTCTGAAAGAGTTCCTCCCTAGCAGAACCAGAATTTTGTCTTATAAAAGCAACATAGAGATATATAATTAAGATTTGTGAGGAGATAGCAGAGTGGGGGGAGGTTGGTAAACAAGTTAACATAAGTTTTATGAAAGCTATTTTATGTAATTAGGGTTTACTGCTATTTAAAAATTGGTTTAATTTACTTAAATGAAAAGACTTTAAAAAGAATTTTTACAGGCAACTTCTCATTTCACAGGATTTTTTAATTTAGTTTTTTGTTGTTGTTTTCTTAAAGATTACCAAGAGAAATATCAAGAGTTACTTGAAAGAGAGGAGTTTTTTCCAGATTATGAAGAAAATGGAACAGATTTATCAGGGGCTGGTGATCCGTAAGTTCTCTTTTTAGTTACTGGTTTATTTTGTTTTGTTTCTGTGATAACTTTTAGGTAGAGAATAGAAAAATAATGATGAAAGAATGGCATTTTGATTCTGTTTTACTATAGTTTGGAAGTGATACAGTTACTAAATTTTCAGAAATCATATTGACACTCAAGCTTTGATTCTAAACCCGTGTAGTTGAAGGAAAAAAATAGTATGCTTAAGCATAATTTTCAAAACAATAGATTTTATTATATACCTACAGTTTAAAAATCTGATACTTACTGTAAGATCTTGGGTAACCTCTGTGCTTCTTTCTCCATCTATAAGATAGGAATAGTAGTACCTACTCTTCGATTTTTTTTTTTTTTTTTTTTTTGGAAAATTAAATGAGAATACATTAAAAATATTTGGCAGCCTTCTGACACATAGTAAAAGGCTCGACTCGAAACTTAGCTGTTAAAGGATAGAGTGAAGAAAACAGTTTACTCTAGACATATTTGGGCTGATGAAAAGATTATAGTCGTGTTCCTGTATCTCAGTTTTTTCACTGTTACTCTCCCAGCTCCTTTAACACCTTGTGTGTATTTGTACATGCTACTTAGGTTCTTTTCTTCCTATGTTGGTGGGGAGGGTAAAATGTCTGTGATTTTAATTTTTCTTGTGTCTTTCATGTGTATTCTGTTTTTAAAAAACGAACCACTTTGGGCTGGGATTTAGCTCAGTGGTGCCACTTGCTACCTGCTTCGCAAGTGCAGAAGTCCTGAGTTCGATCTCTGGTACCAAAATAAACGAATAACTTTTATTTTAGTAATATCTTCTGATGAATTTAAGATCTAGAATTATAATGTTGCCATACTTTTATATACTAGTTTAATAGAAAAATACAAAGATTTAAGGACCCAGGAACTCCTAGGAAGACTTAATCCTGCTGGGTATGAAATGTTGTTCTTGGTATTGAACTATGGCTTTTTCTCTACAGTTCAGTAAGCTTCTTGTTCTCTTGATAAACCTGTGAATGTTTCAATATGTGTGGCCTTACACTAGAAATAGAAAGGAAATGGAAAGAAACTAACCCATGTGAGGTTGACAGGCTTGGCAGATACTTTTTTTGTTGCACTTGTAGGTGGGAGGAATTTTTGGAGGTAAGGGTGAGAGTGCAAGGACATGTAGATGCATCATTTTATGGGGGAAAGTGTAAAAAGGAGAAAAGATGTGGAGTCAGATTCTCTGAAACGTGCTTAGTCAAAATTTTATGTTATTTTTGGTACTGGGGATCAAACTCAGGACTTTGCGCTTGGGAGGCAGGTGGCAGAACCATTGAGCTAAATCCCCAGCCATCTCCCACTTTTTAAAATCTCCAAAATAAAGATGATGAGAGAGTACCTTTTTAAGACAACCATGGGAATCCAATAGGAGTGTGTATATTAAATTCATTATTGACTCTTTACATTTTCCTCCCCTACTTAAAGGAAAGCCTTGTTTTCTATCATTTTTTGTTTGTTTTGGTTTGGCTTTTTAAGAGTAGGAAATTTATGGAGGGAGAGACAGCTCCTGAAAAGCAGGAGGGGACCTGGATCATTTTAAACTTCTAATAGGGGAAGAATCTAATAATATGTCACTGTAAGAATAACTTAGCAGAAATCAGAGCAGGAATAAACTTTCTGATATTAAATAGTTATAATGAAATATGAAACATCACCAGAGATGAACTCTATATCTGAAATTACCTTGTAGCTGTAGCATAGTTTGTTTATTTATAACTCTGGAACATCAAAGCTTTGATCAATAAACTTTAGGTAAAGATATCTCTTAAACTATAATAAAATCTTAACATCAGATATGAGGATGTAAAAATCTATGTTGAGGTTCACTTGTCAAAACAAACATTCAGTTTTCCGGGGACTGCCATTTATGTAATTCTAAAATTAATCTTGTATTTCAGTGTAAGTCACATAAATTCTTTATGTGGCTTTGTACCTTAAGGCATTTTCTGAATTGAAAAGCTTTAAACTTATTAATCATCTTTGGCTTCTTTTATAGATACTTGGATGATATTGATGATGAGATGGACCCAGAGATTGAAGAAGCTTATGAAAAGTTTTGTTTGGAATCAGAGCATAAGCGAAAACAGTAAAGTTAAATTTCAGCATATCAGTTTTATAAAACAGTTTAGGTATGTTGATTTAGCAGAACACAGGAAAGCAAGAACATGTGTCATACTTATACCAAATTAAGGATGTTGAGTTATGTTACTAATGTATGCAACTTTAATTTTGTTTAACACTATCTGCCAAAATAAACTTTATTCCCTATAACTTAAAATGTGTATATATATAAAATAGTTTATTATGTACAGTTACTTCCACTGTTTTGGCTGCAATAAAATCGATTTTGAAATAAATGAAATGTTGAAAGTAAATTTTGCTAGCTGGTTAGATGCTTATATTTTAAGTTTTCTTTCTTGGAAAAAAATGTCAGCCTAGAAATACATATTACTGCAAATATGTAGCATTCTTTTTTAGATAGGAATATTACAGCTTTTATTTTACTTTAAGTGTCTCAATTGAGTTTCAAATATTGCTGGTTATGGTGGGACATACTTGAGAGGCTGAGGCAGAAGGATGACTGTGAGTTCAAGGCCAGCCTGAACTATGTAGTGAGACCCTGTCTCAAAAAACAAAACAAAACAAAAATCTAATATTAATCCTAGTGATGAACATCCTTAGCGCTAGTCTTGGAGTATATTCACAACTGATTAACATATGTAGATGCTATTTGATTCAAAGGACTTGTAAAATATCATTAATAGGGGGAAGAAACTTTGAACTCCCAGCTAAACAACCAAGGCTCTTCACTGAAGATTTATTCCAAGGATTCCTTTTTTCTTTTACTTGACTAACTTCATTACCCTAAGGCCTAGACATTATTCTGCTCTATTTATATGGCTTTCTCACTTTTATTTTGTAGCATGGATTATATTGACTTTTTTACTACAAAATTTTACTAGATATTTGTCATTCAAGTTTTCATCTGCTTTATAATTAGTACACCTTGAGGATCACTTTTCTAATACTTTTACTATAATGTGGTACCACCTCAGCCCAGTCTAAGTAATATTTTTACCTAATGTCAAATGTTTTTCCAACTAACTAAAAGTCAAACATATATAAAACGGTTGCCTGTAAATACGCATGTAAATAGTTCTGTTAATAATCCAGTGTTTTACATTTGGTACATCTGTGTCTGCTAATACAGTTAGCTTTCTCACTTTTCTGCTTGTTTGTTCAGTCTGAATTAAAAGTAGACTTTGAAAATAAATCTTAAATAGTTTTGTTTCCTCGAAGTGTTTGAAGTGGTATTCTGGTATTTCAAAGAATTTGTTGTTCAACCTATTTATATAATTTATTTTAAAATCAGAGAAACCATAGTACAACAGAAGATATTTGATTCAGTGTCTATTGAGTAAAAACTCAGTGCACTAACAAGTCTAACTGGAAAAACCAGCAAATATATGTTACAATTTTCAGATGCTTGTGAAGGGAAATACATATGTATATATGTATGTATATATGTA